CCAAACCATAACAATGTAACGTCTTGTTGGTGTTGTTGTTGTTGCTGCTTTTGTTGTCGGAAAATATTTTACACCTTTACACAAGAGTGCAGAATCTATGGGTTGTATGAGGGATGCGGACCTTATCTGGGGTTGCCCAAAAAATACACACACAGAAAACTGGCGAAGCCAAAGCCCAAGCAACAAGGTAAACATTTTGCGGTAATTAAGAAAAATTACCTTGCTCAACAAACCAAAAAAGAACCAAACCGGAAAAAGGACCCAAAAACAAGAACAACAACAACAAAAAAGAAAAAAATAAGCTAGCAAAGGCGGTTGCCGAAACTTTAAATACCCTAGCCGAAACCTAAGGGCAATACAATAAAATACATCCTTAGATGATCAGTTCATTTAGTCCTGAACGATCTTAGTCCCGATACGATAGTTAAATTAATTCTGCACTAAAGTTAATATGTTAACTACAACATATTATGTAGAAATTTAGAAATCCAACAGTAATTGAAATTGGGAATCGTTTTAAAGCTTTAATTCATTGGCATTTGTGCTTTGTTGCTGAGTTTAAATCTGCTCAAAGTCCAATTAATCCCAGGAGGGCCATTTAGACACAGAGAATCAATTTGGCGATTTACACTTACTTTCTACTTCTGCCTTGAGGAGCTTGCGTATCTGTTAAGTTGCCACTCTATCAAAAAAATGAGATTCTACTTTTGCGGAGATCCAAACTGACGAACGAACAGTCGGAGTGATGTGCTCTGGAGAGTAGTACTAGAGAGTGTTTCCTTTAGAGGAGTGTAACTTTTGGACAGCCCCATAATGCCTCTTCCAGCTATGATACCCTCTGTAAGAAAAGCACAACAACAAAGCAAAGGCCATAAAGAAGTCCCAGCCAAAGCCACACACACAGAGAGGAACACAGGCAGACCCGTATACAAATACAGACGCAGAATTGGTCAAAATGGACGGACAGGCGACAGGAAGACAGTTGGAGCGCCAGCTGTGGAAACCCTCGATGGGGAGCGGCAGAAGAGCCCCACCGCTCCATGGCCCATTCACTTTTTCCAGCATCACTTTGCTGTGAGACTCTTAGTTTACCATTTCCTAGTGGCTGCGACTTTTTGGTGTTAACTTTAAATTAGCAGCAAAGTGGAAAGTGTTGTCGGTTGGCTTTTAAAATGTTTTGCGGTGTATTTTATTTATCATGAAGTATATCTGGTCGGGCAATTGCCCGGCCCCTCCTCCAGGCTCCGTTCTGCTGTCCCGTCGTCCTTACCACCTTGTCCCGGCTGTCATTTGTCTGTCTTGGCCATGTTATAAAATAATGTGTAAATGTCCTTTTCTTTTTGCTCACTTCACAGCTCCACGGCTCCACTGCTCCACTCTTTCTTCTTTTAGTATTTTTTGTTGTTTAATTTACTTAATGTGCTGCTTGGGTCGGGTCCTTTTATGATGTCTTCTTGGGGACTATTTTTTGCTTCTTTCTCCTTGTTTTTCATCTGGATTTTATTTTTTGTTTGGCTCATTTACCTTGCGCGGAGAGGGGTATCTCCGCGTTATCATTAATGTGTATGCTTACTTCCTTAATTAGTGACGGCGACTGGCCGGAAAATATCGAGTAATAAAACACAAAAAAGTTCCCAAAGAACACACAAATGTGGAGATATGCTAATTTAGACACTTAATGAATGTTTTGCGGAATTTCCTGGGAATTGCTTATAAATAGGTTTTTAATAGCAAAGTTTAAAGTATTGTAATTGAAAGTATCTGTATTTTGTACCAATCACAAAGCAACACACCTTTTAGTTAATAGCTTTAACTGTTATTTGTTAGCTATAGCTGTGCAGAATCATATATTGTCTAGTCTATAGTATCTTTTCTCCCAGTCTAGGTATCATCTGATCACTTCATCTGGCACCGATCGGATCTTTGGGAATTCCACTAACTAACTTCGTCTGTTGTGTCTATGGAAAACTATCCTGGGCTTAACATTAGAAAACAAACACCTACAAATGGTAGTCAATTTAACATCGCAGGAAGAACCTGCATTTACATTGGTTAAAACGTAATTAGCTTGAATTGCTGGCAAATTGAATTAATTAGGAGTTTACACATTTCGCTTGGCACAAGGACAGAGAAAATGTCGACTCAAGCTTGCAACATTTTTACGTGGCCCTGCGCCCTGTGACACATTGTCAATCACCGAAATTTAATTAGGGCAGTCAACTAAGCGCACCATTTACCGCTTAAGTCAAAAACGTATAAGTAATTTCATTAACAGTTATGACGCTTGCATCAAAGCCCCCAAGCCGGGAAGAGGGAGCAAAACGGCATTGACGTGTGCCACTTGGCAAATCGGGACGTTGAAGGAGCACAACCAGCCGAGGAAGCGGAGGAAGCCCAGCCAAGAAACGTACCATAAAAAATATTTAAGACGCATACCGCTTCTAGTGGCAGGGTGAGTGGTAGCTTTCTCCGTTGCTGTTGTGCTAATAAAATCAAAACTGATTACCACATCATCTTCAACGAGCAGAGGAGAACAGAACCAAGCCAAGCCCTTCAGAGAGTCCCAAACAGAGCGCAACGCTTGGAATCGAAGCATGCATATCATATTACACATACGCCACGTTATACAATTTACTTACAACGTCAACGAGCAGAACGTTGACAGACACGCAACACGACACACAAGACGAGACGAGACGAGACGCGACGAGACGACGCGGTGGCAGATATGGACGAAGGATGGGGATGCAGAGAGGGTAGATGAAGACAAATAGATGGCAACAACGTGGCGCACATACAAATGTACATACATATGTGGTGTGTATGCATGTATGTATATGATACATACAAGTATGCGGCATGCGTGTATGGATGAATGTGCGGAAAATGGCAGCGCCCAGTGCCAGTGCCAGCGCCAGCGCCATTGCCAGCAAGAGAGCAAAAGCAAAAACAATTAATTAAGTGGGTGGCAAAGAGATACCATGACTTGGAGCACGGAGCATGGCCCGGCAAAGTGCAGCGAAAGATAAATCGTTTTGCAATAGCGCTATAATTTAATCAAATTTGTCACTTTTACAATTGAGCAACTCGCGCCAAGTCTGAGGCAGCAGAGAACCCTCTCCTGCAGGAATTTATGAATGGAGTAGCTGGGGTAGGGGGGTGGGAGCAGACAAAAGGTGAGGCTGTGTGCGTCTGGCTGTAACTCAATCTGCTCTCCGGGTAGGACGCCGTGTCACGACACCAGCTCTGCTGTGTGCGGCCAAGTGCGTGCCCTGCGTTCGCACTTTGTAAATTCAATTTGAAATGCGCTCGATGCGCACAAAGGCAGGTACAATCCCGTCCCCGTCCCCGAGAAAGCCCAGCCCCGGAACCGGCCCCGGCCCCAGCCTCGACCCCGAACACAGCTCCGCTGGCTATTGTTGGTCATGAGCTGCAGTTAGACCTTTCCGATACCCTACAAGTGCCATTACAGGGGGTCGGGTGTGGGTGAAGAGCCCGACGCAATGATGGCCAAACAAATGCCATCGCTGCCAGCCGGCTAAGCGGTTTGTCAGCCCGATGGGGCCAGGGTGGGGCCAGGGCATGTTGACAATAAACGTCATGGACGACGGCCGGACCTGCAGAGGAAGTTCCGCCAGTCTACAGTCTACACTGAGCGTTCAGGTGGAATCGATTGAGCGATTCTGTAATTGAATACAGGCGCACCAGCCACACGCATTTTCTGGCAGTGTGCGCCGCTGGCATGGCATGGAATGCCCGTGGAATTGTCGCTAAAACTGCCAACAAATTCTCAGTTACGCGCTCACGTTCATGGTGATCACACACAGATAGAGCCGAGGCACACACAGAGCCAACATCAGCCCAAGCACCTCTCTGGGAATGCACGAACCAATTTCAACAAATCTCCCCCTGCCACCCACCCCGACAACGACACCGACACCAACACCCACTGCCAGCAACCTGTCAACCCTCCCCCATTCTAGCTGCCATTGCAATGTTAAACATTTTATCAACGATACGCAAAAGAAGAAAGAAAGAAGATTTTGGTCGACAATCCAACTGTTGGATACCCAGCAATCAGTAATCAGAATCATTCATAACATTCATCATTTGATTGCATTCGATTCATACTAATGTCACAATCCTGATCATTTTTGCTGGCTGTGTAGTACACATTGTAGAGCGTCTGTAAAGGGTGCCTTCTTCTACGGTGTAGTCGGGCCATGCCATGCTTGTGGGTTCTTTTCTCAGGCTATTGGGTTACTTTTTATCCAAATTTCTTCTTCTGTTTCCGAGCCGTGTGCTTCCTCGCTGTGTACACTGTATACAAGTCAAGATGCCTATCGAATACGAGAATCATATGTGGTCTGGAAAAACCGAAGGTCATCTCCGAGGGTAGCTTACTGGTAGCTATCTGCTAACCAACCAACGTTACTCTACAGCAATATACCTTCTGCTCCGCGAACCTAGGGTAGGTAGTCAAAAAGGGAAGAGCGAAACTCGTTCGAATTTTTAAGCAAAAATCCAAAAACGTTGGCCATAAACGAACAGGTAGCCAAACCATTGGGGAGAGCAAGTGCTGGAGCAGAGGAGAGGGTGGGCGGGGGCCGTTGGGGCTTCCTGGATGTTATTTTTCAAACATCAAATGTTCGGGGCAATGTTGACGTCAACACCAATGGGAGCAGGGCCGAAGTAACGCCACTTCCAGCTGTTTGTGCTGCCTCCATCCTTGCATTCTTTCGTCCTTTCGTCCTTTCGTCCAACGGTCCCAATTGGTTGCATTTCCCAGGTCGCCCATCAGCTGAAGCCCCCAGTCCCCCCACCATCCTGTCACCCCTCTGGCGCTTCACCTGACCTGCCCATTTATTGCAATATCAAAATGTTTCTTTTCCGCTCTTGAAAATGATTGAAAAATATTCGTTGTTTTGAGTGTAAGCTGCTTTCAGGTTTCCTCTTTAACGTTAACTAAGATGTTTTCGATTTATCTGGTCTGTTTGCAGGGGATCCTACAAGGAATAATGCTCAGGCTTTTGCTGGTCCATGTAATAACGATATGTGTGCTACTAAGGAATGTTGAGTCTGGTGTGCCAATTGGTGAGTCAACGAGCGACATAAAAACTTCTGAATCAAGTATTTTGATAAGTAAACAATGTGTGATTTTCCGTTTCGTAGGAACCGGCGGCCCATCGATTATATTGGAGGGCAAAGATGCTTTGCTAACCTGTGTGGTGTCTGAGAACTCCATCAACAATACGGTGATATGGAGAAAGGGTGACGAGATTCTGACCGCCGGGACAGTGCGGGTAACCAAGGACCACCGTGTGCGCATCCTACACGATGAAAGTAAGTTCATTATCCGGTTCGAGTACGAGCCCTCAAGAACAGTAACCAACTATTTGGGGTTGCCATTCAGATCCAAAGGGCAAGAATCTGGAGACTGGCGGGGAGGTCTGGGTGCTTCTGATCAAGAATCTCAAGGCCAGCGACTCGGGGGCCTACAAATGTGAGCTCAACTCGGATCCTGTCCTCAGCAGCATCCACATACTGACAGGTGAGTGAGGAACATGCCCTGCCAATCCCAATCCAATTCAAGCCGACCCCTGCCCATCTGCCCAACAGTCAAGGAGCTGCAGTCGTCGACAGGAGGGCCCACCAATGCCACGGATATATCCACGGTCGAGTCGAGTGACGTGTTCCTGCTGCCCCCGCCGCTCGACGCGCAGGACAATCGCAGCTTCTGGCGGCCCAGCCAGGTGCCCCCGCTGGTAACCCACGACTTCACAGAATGCTGCGAGCGCGGAAATGTCTCAGCTCAGTGCATGGGCTTCTGCAACGTTCACAACATCCTGGACGGGACGACGGGCATCGATCCGGAGGCCTGCGAGAAGGACTTCCCCAGCATTGTGCGGTGCATGGCCGACGGACGCAATCACGTGCCCTGCTGCGTGGACAAGCAAATACCAGACCTGTGCCAGGACATGTGTCGGGGCGAGTACACGCCATTCACGGACAGGCTGAAGACGCGCGTCTCCTGCGTCCAGCACACGCTCAGCGGTCTGCAGTGCATCCTAAAGGGTGTCCAGCTCATTCCGAGCATGCCCATCTTTGTCACCATCGAAAACGTGAGCGAGACGACCGTGAGCATCGGCTGGACGGCGCCGGAGAAGCTCACTGACCGTGTCTCCAGCTACACGGTAAATGTGACTACCCTGCACAGCTTCGACGAGGACGAGTTGAGTGGAGAGATCGTCCACAGGACTGCCGCGGATTCGGCGGAGTCTGTTGCCCTGCACAACGTGCCCGCCAATCAGACGCAGCTGAAGCTGGACGGCCTGACCCCGCTCACCATGTACGCCGTGATCGTGACGGCCGTCAACGAGTTCGGGTCCAGTTTGCCGAGCGAACGGCTGCGCTTCTTCACCCACACGAGTGCTTCGGCCACGGAGTCACGGGCCGGCACCACCGACAAGCAGGTGATGCCCACTCTGCCGGACATCCGGCAGTGCTGCGAGGACAATGGGATGACGCACCGCATGTGCCTGGACAAGATGTGCGATCCGCAGAAGACCGATCTGGCCACGCTGCCCGACTTCATGGTCTGTGCTCCGTGGTCCAACATCACCTTCACCTGTTTGGCCAACAACATTGATCATACGCCCTGCTGTCGCTCCCGAGGTATTCCTTCCGCCTGTTTCCCACTGTGTGCTGGCAAGCTGACGTCGCTGGATTTTAGCTTGTTTAAGTAAGTCCGAGTCCGAGTGCCCTATACAACGTATCTGTCTACAGCTCAAGTCTCATCAAGCGTTAAAATCAAACCAATCAAATCACGTATTAAGTCCATTTCTGCATCCCCTGCAATGAATTGATTAACCAATTAGACCCAAGTACTTCCATCCCCATCGCCTACAGAGTAGATTCCAATCACTTTCCATATCTAGAGAATTTAGTGGACTCATCATTTTGGATTCGTGCTAATGAGCACGCTGAATGGAACGAGTTTTTACCAAATGCCAATTACGTTTCTGTTCTGTTCTGTTTTCGTGCAGATGCCTGCGCTTCATGTCCGAGTACAGCAGCTGCCTGTTCCAGGGCTATGGCGTGCTGGCCGATCCCCCATCCAAGCTGCGAACGGTGGCCAAGACGGACAGCTTTGTGATTCTGGACTGGAATAAGCCGAAACGTCTGGCCGATACGGTCAGCACATATCATGTCAAGTTCCGGCGCCTCGGTGTGGGCGATGACTATCTGACGGTGGAAAAGGTATCCCATCCCCACCTAACTTCATCCCTCCTGTTGTTTGGCTAATTCATTAAGCTCTGCAGCGCCAGCCACCACTGATTCTTGAGGGCCTGGAGTCGGACATCTACTACGAGTTCTATGTGGTCTCGATAAATGCGTACGGCAAGAGCGAGCCGTCGCCGCGCCTGATTACCCGCACCCAGTCTGCCGAGCCGGTCCAGGCACCGACGTCCAGATATAACATGACAACGTGTTGCCAGGCCTCGGGACTGCTGCCCCAGTGCGCCCCGCTCTGCTCCTACAACATACGCCTCTCGGACATTGAGCGCCTGGGTCCAGCATGTCGAGCACAAATGCGTAAGTAGCATCTGGGCTGGGCCTCATCTCCTCCACATCTTCCTCCAGTGCTTACACATTGAAAACACTAATTAGTGTCGGGATATCTAAAGTGGAACGAGGACACACTCCTCATCCTCTCGTACTCTTACTCTTGCTGTTAGGAAGGGAGAAGAGGCCTATTGTTCTGCCCTGGGTGGGACTTTTTGTTAATTTAATGAGCTCATTTTGCAGTTTTCGCTTCGTTTCGTATCGTTTGCCGATGCAATTTGGAATGTTAAGTGGACACTCCTGTCATTGAACATAATGAATTTTTCGTACTTATGCAAATCAATTTTTAGTTAATTAGTCGCACACAATCCCCAAATGGCGGACAGGAGGAGTCTCCGCCTGCCCATCTTTTGATAGGATATTCCTAAAATGTTTTCATCAGCGAGCTTTGCCGGTAACACCTTTTTCAGTGAAATTGCGCTTATAAGTAGGTATATAATATTTAGTTGGCAAGAAAGGAATTTAACATTTTTTCCATAAATTCGCACCGATTATGTATTGGCCGTTTTGTGCTCTGGCCACTTTGACCCATCTACACAATTCCGCGCTCGTAGAAATTTTCATTTCTTACGCCAAAAACTGGATCAAGTGGTATTTGACAGCCTTGGCAGAATCGAATGACGATTCAAAAGATGTTGAAGAGGGCGAAACAAATGATAATCTGATGGTGCAAGGTCTTGTCTGTACGCTTCCTTTTCTTTTCGGAAGTATATTAGCAATTTATGCAGAAAAGTTACACGACTAATAATTCTATGCCTTCAATACTGTCTGCCATGCTACTTACAAGTAGATAACCCTCTCTACGAAAACTTTGTTTGGGTACTTTGATCGTGGTCAGATATCGATCAAATCCGTGCGAGCTGTACATATATCATACCTTACAACAATTTTACCTATTGGTTGATCTAGCCGATCTAGCTGATTCCGATGGGGGACTAACTAGACTGTGTTCCAAATTAGGCTGAGATAGCTCTAAAGCTGAGAGAGAATAGATGTATGTGTCGGGGATGAGATGGTTCTCTCTGCGAATGCTGCCCAAGTTCAATATAACCTCTAATTCACCCCAATAGCTGGGTGGACCCAAAACTGTAACAGTCACATAGAAGCTTAATTGAGCTTAACTATTATTATTTATTGTGATGCCTCTAAGGAAAACAAAGTGGTTCCTTTGATTAACGCATATTTGTGTAAATAGTGTGGATAACCCCTATCAGCCCTTCTTTATAATATGAGCCTGCTGCAAATACAGCAGCCATATCGTATGTGAATAACCCCTAAATATAAGGTCACACTGGAGGAATACCATTTATACATTAATACATTAAAAGAAGAAAGACGTGTTCGGCGGAGTAAAGGAAAATAAATACATTGCCGGGTTTTACTCCCACAAAAGGAAATTTATTGATAATATTAGCATTGATTTATTCCTAAAAATGTTATCTTTTTACATATTACACATTTTAGTTCTAAGAAAACACCAACCAAGCCCAGTCCCCATTAAAAATATTGAATAGCCACTTGGGCCGCAAGGTGACTGGGCAGAAAGATGCTCCTATCCTCCTTTAGCTCCAATCACCTTGTCTTGTCCATGATGAGAAATCTCTTGGTAACTTTGCTGTAAATTGGTACAAGCTGTCGACTCACGGGAAATCCTTTAGTGTGCCGGGAATTAGGGAGTAAATTGATGACTTCATGTCACAAAATGAACCAAAACATTTGCTAATGCGAGTATCTTCGTCCCAGAGAACAATGAGCCGTAACTGACTGGCAGGCGGGGAGGCAGTTGGCAGTTTATGCAAATTTTGCCACGATATTAACCAAGTTTTCCTATCCTCAGCCATACTGGCACGCTGCGCAGCTGGCGGACGTGATCACAGTCTGTGCTGCAGTCGACGCGGCGTCATTAACGCCTGCATGCCCCTCTGTCGCGGCGTCATGCCACTTGCACTGACCACCAAATCGGCAACGGCAACTGCTGCAACAAATAGCGCCAGTGCAGGAGCAGGAGCAGGAGCAGCAACATCCTCAACATCTGCATCATCATCATCATCCGTAGCTGGGGCATCCACGACGGGAGCGGGCGGTGTGCCCGATTGTTTATCATATGCCGGGAACATTCTGCAATGCTTTGAGGAAGGTAAGTTGTAGTCATGGCAGCTGCCAGAACCTGTCTATAGCTGTGCCTATCTCCCGCTGTACTGGTGATGAGCAGAGTTGTGACAGTAACAAAGTGAACGAAGGAAAGAGCTCGATTCGAGAGTTGGCAGATAGCCAATCGCCTTTAAAAATCCGCGAATTTACCAGATTTTCCCAGTTTAATTAAGTGAAAGAAGTGCTCTTTCAAGATCTGAATGGATAAATGAATATCCCAGTATTAGTTTTAACTTTAATTCATTCCCTGTACTCGCACTTTGCGGCAACAACTTCAATCAAAACTCATCGCTGTGAATGCAGTTCACAGTCACAGTCACAGTTCCTGCTGAAGTGACTGAATTTCTAGTCGCACCCCGTGGTGTGTCTGTTTGTCTTTCTGTTTATCGATGGGTTGGTGCTGGTCCTTTGTCGAGGCTTGTCTGCTGGGCTTGTGTTTGCAGCTAATTCTGTTTGTTTAATTGCGTGTCTGTGCACGTCGAGCATACGCACTGTTGCACGCCATTGTGCGCTAAATTATTTGGTCAGTGCTTTTGGGCGCACCAACCACAGCATGGCAGACAAAACCAATATTGGCCAATTAAAGTTGCATTATAAAACAAAACACCATCCTTCTGCCTCTCCCACCACTCTCCGACCAGGCACACAGAATATCCCCGGACCACCAGAAGATGTGCATGCGACATTCGTGAACCAGACCAGTCTCAGTCTGGCCTGGACAGCGCCCGATGTGGAGAGCAGCAACAGCAGCAGCATCAGCAGCAGTGGTAGTAGCAACACATCACCAGGTGACATGATAACCGGCGATGAACTGGCAGCTGGAGCTGTGGCCGGAGAGGTGGCCGCACCAGCAGATGCAACCAAGGAGCCGTCCATCGGCAATGCCACAAGCGAAGCGGACGATATTGATTTTATAGTGCAGTATGGCAGAGTCAATAACATGACCATGTACGAGACAGTTGCCAAATTGGAAAATGTGAGTATATTTCTGGATGGACAATAGACAGTCCACACACAAACTTTTCCCCCGAAAACTATCCTATCATCGCTCCCTCCTGCTACCCGCTCCCCGCACCTGTGACTGGCTTGGCAAAAGGTTCCTCCATCGGGATTGGAGACACAATGGAGCACTTCATTTGCATTGGGCCTGGGGTCTGGCCCAGGCAGGCGGTCCTTATTACGATTTGCCTTTTGGGGCCAAAATGCTGCCATTATATATTTCGAGTGCCAATGGAATCGAAAAGAGCTTACAAATTGCCTTGTCTGAGTGCCAGTCCGACGCAGGACAATAACGGTTTCCAAAGAGTTTGGCTTAGGGAGCACTGGACTAATAAAACAACAAACGAACCAGCCTCAGTTCGCGTATCTTCCAGCAAATCCAGAACAGCTGGATCTGGCAATTACCTATTAGATGGGATATCTAAAACAAGGGACATACCGCCAGTCTCTCGATATAAAGTTCGAGAGAGAGGGAGAAAAATGTACGACTCTGGGGACATACCGTCAGACATAATACTTGAATGCCCCGCAGAGCCAGTCTCAGCGCCCCTTAGTCTTCTTAAAAACCCAACCATATCCATGGAATCTTATTGCCTCTAGTGTTGGCTGAATGTACACATGCCCACATTTAGAATTGCTTGAGTGTGCGTGGATTTATTTGCAGTCATCTATTTCTGTGAACATTTTGGAATGCGAAACGAGTTTCTTATGTTTCTGACAGCTCAAAAAAAAACATATCTTACATAATTAATGAGCGAAAAATAGTCACACAATTGGAATTTGGGTGTTTCAATTTGCGATTTTAAAGTGTATAACTCCAGATGCCTCCATGGGTCCAGAAACTGATTCACCATCACAATGAGATGGTCCAATTGTCCCAATTTCGTGCCACATGGCGTATGGGCAACGTTTGCCAGTTGAGCCAGTTAAGCCACTTATTCAATTATTTATTTAAATCTTCAACCACCGAGTAAATCTCACTAAATGCATAAATATATCGACGGCCATTGTTTATCCGCCAAATGAAATCAATTGAAATCCTCCTCGCTCGTCGACCAAATATCAAGTGCAATCCTCTCCAACCTAAATATTCTCCCTATATATACATATACTCTCGTATAAATATATTTATATATGTATATGCTTTTTTTTGGTCAGCCATCGCTAATCCAATTCAATGTAATAATCTTTGAACCCTGCCCAAAAGGGGGACTTGGTGTCGAGATGTGGATGGGGTGGAGCAGGAGCTTTATACCCAAAGCTATGGGTAAAGTTTTTGACGCCAGCTCGTGATGGTTGAAGAGGGGGAGGGTGTGGCTGCGGGTGCGGGTGCGGACTGATGCGTACTAGGTACTAGGGGGCTTATGGACGCCATATGCATGGCCAACGTGAAAACGTGACTATAAACTGGAAAAAATGCAGGCAATCCAACGCAACTACAACTACAAAAAAAAAGAGTAAAGAGCAACCAAACCAAACCAAACAACGGACCAAAGTTGGCTCGAGCTTTGCCATTGGCATTGTACTTGTTGTTGTTGTTGTTGCTGCTGTTGTTGTTGTAATTTTTGTTTGTTTTTGCAATTGTAATATTTGGCGCTGTTGTTGCTGTAGTTATTGGCTGCTGTTGTCACACATCAACGCGCACTGCTGCCAGCTGGGCCTGCCGTTGCCGTTGCTGTTGCTGTTGCTGCTGGTGCAGCATCAGGGCCATCCACAGAGTTATTGGCCTCGAAAAAGTTGCAAATGCTAAAAAATAGCAACAGCAACAAAACGCAACAACAGCAACAAAAAGCTGGCAAGAGTTTGTCGCGTGTTGATGCGCACAGAAATGTATTTAACGTGGGGTTGATGGTGGTTGAGCTGATGCCTGGTGTTGCTGCGGGGGCCACATTCAACCTGTCCGCGACGACCTGCCAATGGTGCCCCCAAAGCCACCGCATCGATGGGAGATGAGCGCGTGCTATCGTTAGTTTTCTGAAAGCTGTTACATAGCCGATGACCGATGACGAGTTTTATGAACAAATTTCGTCCAATGAGAATCGATACGATACAGCATTGGTATTGGTATTCTTAGCATCATAAGTAAGTTTGGAGAAAGGCATCAGTATCGAAAGTTCAAAGAGAACTCCTGCCGATCCTGAACGAATCTCACATCACGCGACCAGCACTGGATTGGAAAACGAATCGATATGGAAGATACCGTGTGGTGTCAGCATTGCTCCGCAGTTTTTCTTTTTGTTGCTGGTGCTGCGGGAAAATTCATTCGCCCTCTTCGATGGTCTGGGCTTTGTTTGGCTGCTTTGGTCAGCAGGGCACGCAGCTGTTGCGGCTGCTGTTGTTGGCTTAACTTGGGGCTAGCTTGGCTTGGCTTAAATGCTTTTCAGTTTCGGTTTTTTGCGCTGCTGCCACCGCCTGGTGGTGTCAAATGGTTTAAACGCGCCTCTCTGCAGATATGCCGCTCCTCTCCGCTCCGCACCCCACTGGATGGGTTATGGTATCGTCGTACATATACATGTATGGTATCGTATAGGTTCATGGCTATCGCCGCAGTCTGCAATGCGTTGACTCAGTGTGACACTTTTATGGACAAACTTAATTGCTTTTGGACGTGTCAGAAATACTGTTCCGGAGCGGCAGCTCTCCGCTAAATATCAATGGGGAGATGAATGGAAATGGTGGAGTCAGCCGAACATTCATCTGTAAGCGGGTCCCGTCCCTAGCGAAACCTAACCAAAGCTAACCAACGATAACCAACGCTAACCAAAACTGTTAACATTCAAGGTAATTTCCCAGCCGTCTTGGCTGCCTTCCCTGTTTCCCCAATTCTGCAACCCTTCCCGATTGAATCAGTGCCAATAATTTGGCAATTTCTATTCGTCGCCAAGGCACGGCGGCATTGTGTCACCAACATCAACAGCAACAGCACACAAAAACACTATTCGACTCTACAGGATATTACGTACCATCTCGGAACGGATAGGGGTGGGGTGGGGTGGAAAGGGGAGGGGCATGAAAATGGAGAACGGAAATAGAAGGTTTTCCTCGACAGTCGCATTTTTCCAATGATTCTCGTTGACTCCGAAAATACGTAACTTTTGTGATGATTTTTAGGGCCACTGCTCTGCTCGGCTGTGCTGTGCTCTGCTCTGCTCTGCTCTGCGTTAGTTGGAGTTGACTTTTATTTCTGTTCTGTTTGTGCTGCCAAACACACGACCATAAAAAACTTTTTAATGTAGCCTGCAACACTGGCAAAAAATACACCGCAAGCGGAAAGAAATGACTGCGGGGGGACCCCGAGAGCTGACCACGCTGCCAGAAATTAGACACATTAAATATTCTGATACAGTTGCGAAGGAATGGAGTGGGGGGAGGGAGGTATCGTCCCTCTCCTGAATCTCTCCTGTGTCCTGTCTGAAGGGGTTATGTTATGGCGATTATGTGCTTTGTCTCTGCAACTCCAGCTCCGGGGCCAAGACAACTCCTAAATGAGCAACCAGGGACCTAGTTTTATGGCCGGAGTGTGCCTCGAGTTCATGGAGGGAAGGCCAAAGAGAGAGATAGCCGTGCAAGACTTGGCGCTAAGCATTTTGAATATTTATTCGTTCAAGTAGTTGCTGGGGACTGCCTCTGCCGTGCAGTAGACTCACCTAAATTCCTGGCGGGGAGGGAGAGCTGCATTAATTATTCAGCCAGGACCCCGCTCGTCATGCCAATTGAGGCACATTTAAGTTGCGGCTATGTAATTACCCAAAAAGGGACTGGCTGAAAAAAGGCCACTAAAGTGACACACAAAATGGCCAACTAAAAGTCCTTGGACTGCTATTAGTGTTTTTTCTTTTTCCCCTCTTCTCTCTTTTCTTTCGATTCGGTTTGGTTCGGTTCGGTTCGGTTTGGTTCGAGAGCCTAATAAATCGTTTTTCGCTTGGTCCTTCAGGCTCTGTTCTGTTTTGGGGTTTGAATTTAATGCGTTTTAGATAAGTTTCTAATGGAAGGAAATTAGTATTGAGCCGGGCAATTTATTCTCCCAGGGCTCTGCCCACTAAATTATAGTTTATCAGAAGTGGGCTTCGGCTACCTTTGTCAAAAGGGGTTTCTCCCTGTCCTGTCTGGGATTCCCTTCCAAAAGGTGGGGTTCTCGTATTTGACAGGAGTTGTCACAAGCTGCGTGGAGAAGCAAAGCGGACTCCGCACCCAAATGGAGATTTACGACTGAGCCCAGGCCTGAAATGGCCAAAACGAATACCAAAAACAACCGCCAAAAATACCAAAAACCTCTAGCCAAAAGCGAGATGAACCCCGCATGAACATATTTAGCCATTTCAGCCAAGCAACAAAACGGCTCTCCCCACAGATGTCCAACATTGGTCTGACATTCTGACACTGACTTACATACTAAATATGACTCGCAGAGGGGCACGCCAAATCAAATTATTTTAGCCAGATTATTCGAGTAGCCGTAGCTGAAACAACGCCACGCAGCTGAAATGCTCGGCCGCTGAGCTGCGGCTAGAAACAAGTTAATGCAGCCCCGAACTGACTTTGCTTTTGAAAGCAAAAAGCGCCCGACCATTCTCGTTAAACGAAATAAATTACTTAACGCGCCGCATTTTTTCGCACTGGCCACGCGGCCAAAAATGCAATTAAAGGCCAAAAACCGCACAGCGACGACATCTGCAAGAGATTACATAAAAAAAACACACAGAGGGCCAAGGAGAGAGCGAGAGAGAGAAGCAGCAGAATCGGGACGGGACAGCCACGCGATTCAGTTTGTAAATGATTGAGATGGGTTTTGGAATGGAATGGAATGGCTGGTAGGGTAGGGTATCCAGACTTTGAGCTATGGGGGTTCTACCAAGAATGTCTTTCAACATGCGAGAAAAACTGAACCGCTGACACAGAGGATTCCTCGCTGTGCCACAGATAAATATTACATAAATTCTTAAAATACTTAAATACTTGGATTCTGTGTGACACGAGGTGCAGTGTCTAATAAAATATTGATTTGATCAGTTATCAATCACTCAATTGTCATTCATTCATTCATCAAAAGTTGCATACATCCCATTGATGCGAATACATGTGCCACACTCGTTGGCCACTGTACAGCGCATCCAAAAGCACCACGAAGCTGTAACACCAACAGATTACGCTAACGATTTTTAATGTAGATTTGCTGGGTGCAAAGAGTGGGGTAGCGTATGGAGGTCGAGTGTCTGTCCGTGGCCCAACTCCATGCATAGACAACTGGCCCCCGAGATATAGCTGTCAATTTCGTGGATGGCTTTTGAAACAAAATAACGTGAATGTGGACAAGGGACAGGGACAGGGGACAGTGGTCATGGGACATGGATGGGTGGAGGGGGGGGTGACAAGGGACCTCGATGAGTTGACCGACTGGGACAATGGAATGAAGCGAATGACCCAGGGTTATATGAAGCTGGAAGCTGACTGACTGCCGGACCGGGTGTGGTGTCGTTTGGTGCGCTAAACACCGCAAATTGCGCTGCGTGGCAGCAATTACAAAAAGTACTAATCATGGCGACATGTCTTTCAGCGAAATCAAGCCAAACCACAGCCACAAGCAGACTAGGACAGACTAGGACAGACTAGACCACGCCAGACCACAACTGACCAGGGAAGCGCTGTCAAATTTGTTTCACTTTAAGCGAATCTGTACCCTGGGAAAGCAATAGGAGAATGTTCCTGTTATAAATTACCAGGAAAAATATGCCAGCAATTGAGAGCGCGTTCTTTTTACTGCAGGAACTACCTTCACCCATTGTAGGAAATCAATTCCAGGGTATCCAATGCATCCATTCGATTTGTCTCAATTCACTACCCACTCTATTCAATCGAATTTCTAACATTTTATCTGGTTTCTGTGTCTCTGCTCTTTTTGTCTTTTCAACGCAATTATACACTTAGGAATTGACCACCAATGAGACGAGTATCGATTTGACGGATTTGGAATCGAATGCCTTGTACCGCATTACGGTTGTGTCGCGCGGCAAATTTGGCACGTCGCTGCCAGCCTCGATGCTGCTGCTGAACACCACCAACATGAGCCGTGAAGGTGAGTGGAACTGGAGCCCAGCCCCTGCTTGTCTGCTTATCTGCTTATCTATCTAGTCGCGAATTGATTTAACTGTTGTGTGTGCCGTTGCAGGTCAGGGGGAGGGCACCGCCTGGGGCTCACCCTCGCCACCACACTCGCTGACTGTGGTGGCGCACAGTGCCACTTGGATGCAGCTGACCTGGCAGCCACCCGAGTATGCCCATCCCCATGAGCGCATCACCTACAGGTGGGACGGGGCAGTGGGAGTGCCTCCCAGTGGGTTATGTCAAGCTAAAACTCTCTCCACTCCACTCTCCATGCAGGGTCTATCACAAGGCAATGCGGGCCGAGCAATTCATTAAGATAGAAACGAAGCTGGCCTGGCTTCGAATGAACAACCTCAAGCCGAGCTCCCAGCATGTGCTCTATGTGGAGGCGGTGGGTGAGAGGGGTGTCTCCCTGCCCTCCGAGACGCTCGTTGCCTGGACAGATCCCGCCTTGCCCGCCTTCGTCGATGTGAGTTCTTAGTCGGAATGAATTGGAGGCGAATTAAGGGATAACTGGGTGCTCTTTTATCCTTCCAGCCACCCACTGTACACCCGGTCGACAACATTCCCGAAGGCGGTTCCATGACCATCCTCTGTCTGGCCCTAGGCAATCCGGCTCCAACGATTTCGCTCTACGTGGGCGGCCATCTGGTGCGCCAGGATACTTCGCGGCACATGGTGACAGTCATCCACAACGTGTCCGCGGATATGGAGCACGTCTCCTGCTATGCGGACAACGGATATGGGGTGCCCATGCAGGCGACGCGGCGGGTTAATATCTGCTGTGAGTAGTGGGGTTGTTGGGGGGTGCCCAAGGATCTCCAAGCCACTTATTTTGGGTGCTCTTTCCTTTGCAGATCCTCCCAAGATCCAGGCAGCTGGCATCACCGTGGCCTCTTTAGGCGACGAAATCGAACTGCGGTGTACAGTGGACTCCAAGCCGGCGCCCAAGACCATATTTTGGCGCGAGAAGGATGGTCGAGTGCCCGTCATCAATGGCGGCAACTATTTCATCTCGGTCAAGGCAAACGAATCCCGGCCCTCGATCTACACCATGTCGCTGAGGATCAACAAGCTGCAGGCCAACGATGTGGGCGACTACTTCTGCCACGCTGAAAATCCCTTCGGAGCCACCACCACCCCGGTCTCCGTGCGAATTCGTAACACTCCCGCCCTCAATCACAACGTGTCCGCATGCTGCGCGGAGCAGAACGTGTCCCTGGCCTGTCGCAGCGCCTGCAGCTACTACGTGGACTTTGATGCCATTGCCGATCAGCCCGAGTGTATCGTGGACTTTGACAAGCTGATGAGGTGTGCCGCCGACGGATCGGACCATCGCTCCTGCTGTGCGGATGAGCACGTGCCGCGCAAGTGCCTCAACTGGTGTCGTGGGGAGTCGGTGCGCTCCAAGGAGATTTGCAGCCTGCAGTATGGCCGCACCATAGTGGGTTGCTTCGAGAAGAACCGGGATCGCCTGCCGGGACCCCCAGAGAATATTGTGGTCAGCGTGGTGTCCGACAGTGAGGTGGCTATAAGGTGAGTTGGAGCGAAAGAATCCCTCGTTAAAGTTCGACCGAGCAGAAGCCATTGGGCTTTAGCTTTGGCTTTGGCTTTGGCTTTGGTCCCACGCACGGGCACGTCCCAGCAACTAAGCTAACGCTCTGTCTAAGCTCTTAAACACTTTTGTCCGGAGCGGAAGTGGACTCATCCATTTAGCACACCCGACCCAATACATTCATTATCCTTCTCGTCCCTTCCATCCCGTGCTTTCCCCCATCCTTCTCATGTGTACGGGCGCGTGGGTATACATGCGAGTGTGTGTGCCCGGGCACTAATAGACCGCAAATCCATTAAAGCTGAGATTTTTTATCTCACTTTAATACACTCAGTCAACGTCAAAGGTTGCGCCATAGCTGTGGGGATAGAGAGAGAGAGGGAGAGTGAGCGGGCAGTCGGCCAGGACTTGAACCGGAACCGCATTAAATTTATTAAAATTCCAGACGAGTCCTGCGCCTGCAACAATATTACCAAGCACTCATAATACGGCGCCGCTCTATGAAAACTATTTCATTACAGATGGGATGCGCCAACAAAGAATCCAAATGCCGTTGACGGCTACAGAATATTTTACCACGAGGCCGCCGTCCTGCCGCCAACATCACCCTCCGCATCCGTCCCGGCCTCCTCGGAACCAACTTCTTCAATGGAGCAGTCGGGCATGGATACCATGGCCCCCATGAATAATGCAACAAGTATGAGTGGCAACGGCAACGACAGCGGCAACGGCAACGGCAACGGCAATAGCGCTATAGCAGCTCTCGAGATACGACGCATCGACGTAAAGGACACAACAATAAGCATTAATGGCCTCAAGAAGGATGTGCTCTACGAGCTGGTGGTGAAGGCTGGCAATACATACGGTGCGTAGGACGAGTGGATGAGAATGAGAGTAGAGAGATGGCTTTGGGCTTGGGTCGGGTTTTAATTTGCTGACTTGTCTTGCAGGTGCCAGCGTACTCACAGATCCGATTAGATTTACGCTCGGCGAGCATCATGTGACCTCGGCCACCAGCAGCTACTCGAGTGCCGTTGGCACCATCAGCGGCATTGTGGCCAGCATTTTGGCCATTCTCCTGGCCGCCGCGGCCATTGTATTCTATCGTAGGCAGCGCTCCAGCCACGGCAAGTCGGCCAACGGCAATGTGGCGTTCGAGAATCCCACCTACACAAGGGGGCTCGAGCAGGTCCAGGTGTGTATAATGATGTTTATGGCATTCCCCTTCGTTACAGGAGAGTATTATCGTTTTTCCCCGAAACGTTTCGGGGGCTCACGAGGAAGCATTTACCACCCTATAAAGGCAATGTCTATGTCTGTCCGCATTTTCAGTTTCAGAGATAAGTAGCTGCAGTTATCAGAGGCAGCACGGATATAGGTCGCAACTGCCGGGATCGAAAGGCAGCAATGATCTAAGCGGACTCTCAAAATTAACGTTATTCTGCCAAAATTCCAACGACCTGCCATGGATACTTTGTTTTGTGGCAACGTTTCAATGCCTTCCAGGGTTTGAATAGGCGTTTTAGCCTCTTTTTAGCGTGTGTTTCAGCCAGCTGTGCTTTAGATACGAGTAGTACACTAAAAGAAGTGTGTGTTCTGAGACGTTCATTTACTTATTTTTTATGTTATAACTGTCAATGTCTTTTTCTATCCCTGCCACATCAACATCAACGACAACGTCATCGCCACCCAATGCCCCCCCATATGCCATAGCTTCCCACTGTCACATCGGCCATCACGACGCAAAATGGCAACCACCACCACAACGGTGGAGGAGGAGGAGGGGGGATGAGCAGCAGTCACGGCAATGGGCGCAATGGCATTGCCGCCACAATGACGACATCCACAACAACGACAGCGCCAACAGTGGCAGCGGCGGCATCTGCAGCATCCTCAGGTGCCGCATCGACGGGCCACGGGCACGGGCACGGGGGCGGGGGCGGCGGCAGGCAGCACCGGAGTGTGGCGGATGCGGCGCATCACTTCCACAACCCGCTCAGCAATACGCAGTGCAATGAAGTAAATCCCACAATTTATGAAGAGCTCAAACTTGGCCAAGAAGGTGCTGGATTTAAGAAACTTGTGCCATAAATGAAGCACAATAGCAATAAAAACACAAACACAAACAACAACAACAACAACAACAGTACACATAGAAAGAACAACAGCAGCAACAAAAACAAAGTATAGCTAGCGAACTTATACATATAGATAGTATATACTATATGTACATACGTATATGCATATATATTATATATATACATATACTATAGTATGTGTACGCTAAATGTAGACATAGGCCGTGTAAACAGCGCGAAGCGCAACCTCAAACAACTACACACGCACACATATACACCAACACCAACACATACACACACACAAACACTGTGTACTGCGACATCTTTACAGAATGCATTGCGAGAAATCTTTGGGTAACAATTTTTGTGCTTGCAAAAATCTTTTGGGTAGCCTGTAATGAGTAATACATTTTTAGTATGTAACTGTGATTCAACCAGTAAAAAGAAAAACAAATGAACAAAAAACCATGTAATATAATTAACGAATTGGTAATGAAAGTAAGCGAAAATGAAAACTGATTGAGAGAAAATACCAATGAATAGTAAAAATCTATATACGCTAAAGTTGTTTTGTCTTAGTTTGGGCTTATTAATGGTTAGCTAGAGTTAGTTACAGGTTCTTGGGAGTATGTGCTATCCGCTAGCCAGTAATGGTGCTCGTAACTCAATTGCCTCATTAGTTGTGGGTCTCGCTTGTATCATTTCGATGTTTGTGATTTCGTACCCGCTGATTGAAGCTTGGTTTCTCTCAGTGTGTGTGTGGAAGTAAACAACCTTAGAGTACGATATTAAAAGATGCCTGTCTGTATACACCCCGTACACCCCTGCAACCCCCCCTCAACCGACTCGCATCATCCTCATGTTTACGCCTTTCTCGGTGCTTCTCATTTTGATGAGGAGGGAGATGGAAGCTTCCCGCTCCGACGGCATATTTGTTCGTGTAATGTTGCATACGTTATGGCATCTAGAACACCCGCACACACACATGTGAACTGCCTACTCTCATGTGTGTGTGTGTGTGTGTCTGCGTTGGTGTTATTAGCAAAAGGACGCATCAGATGAAGGAGAAAGCAGCCAGAACACAGTTTAACTTTCTTATGTAAATTTCTTTTTATTACAATACTCGTATCTGAAAGAGATGAAGAGGAAGGAGTTTCGCCGCTGCTGCTCTCTACATGATACACTCATAATCCGCTATGATATGATACTGATATGGATGATATGGATGATGCCATCATACCAACAGGCTGTGCCACAAGAGATTATTATAATTTAGTTACAAGGGAAGCTGACGGCACCAGCGACACTTGTGCGGCGATTCTTCTTGCAAAATAATCAAAAAATGCGCAGATTTCCTCGTATGATTTCAGCAAAGCGTGTAAACAGCGATAGAGTAAGCTTCATAAATGTCAAACAGGATGGGCCCTTTCCCTTGAAACGCCCTGGCATCAGAGCACACAAGTCGTTTCCTCTCCTTTCAAATTCCTCTTTAATAAGTAAGCAGGAGCTGAGTTCCAGTTGAGCTCCTGGTCCCATCAAAATGCTGCCGGTCTGCTTTTGCTGCTTTTGAGAAGCTTCCGTTTTTTGATCTGCTGATGACTGCCGAGAGCAGCTGAGTGCAATGGCTCTGAATAAACGCCGCCTGAATTATGCAACACGTTTAAGTGCCTGCATTCCTTACACACATGCAGCTCTTGCATCTTTTGTGGATTCCTGTTTACACTGCCACTGCCACTGCCGCAGACTGGGTTGCTTAGCTGCCTTGCTCTTGCTGCTGATAAGAATGTTGACAGTAGCCAGATAAAGTCGAAAATTTACAAGTAAATGATATTGTTTGGCCGGAGCAGCTGCTGCCCACTTTGTGGCTGATTGCACTTTGCTTTTGTCCAGGAGAGAACACCTGTAACCTGTCTCTCTGATGGCCATAATCAGATCCCCGCTACTGGGAAACTTTTTTGCTATGCATCAAATTAAAGGAGCTCATTGATAAATGCAGATTTCAGACGAAAAGTTTCGTAGTTTAAGTCTCTAAACACTGATTATATAGGAGAAGAAAAATTAATAAATACGACAGTTTTACTAAGGTTATCAAACTGGGTGAAGAGGATCATAGCAGAAGGTACGGTTTTAATGTCTAATATGGGTGGAGTAGGGACAATCTATGACTATTCACAGAGAATCTCTCTAAATCTCTCTTTTGGCTCATGTTAAACTTTAAATTCTATAAAATGTTTAAGCTTTATGCGTGAATAATTTGTTGCTTATTTCGTACGTATGGAGGTTCTAGTCAACTATTTAATTACTAGTGGGCGACCCTATCATGAGCATTTGTGGTAGTTATTTATAGACCTCTACTTTATATTTTTGAGTCGAATCATCGAAAACGTTTCCATCTCAGGACGGACTTCACTCCAGCAAATATTTCTCGGATAGAATTAGACCCTACTGGGTGCCCGATCAGTCTTAGATCCCCACATACTTCACATGCTGTGGACATCAATTGACAGCCAATAGCTTCATTCAGATAGTAAACAATAGATTCCCCCACGAAAGCTATTTTAAAATTTAGCCCCACTCTAGAATCATAAATAAATGAAAGCAATACCAATGGATGGGGACATAAAAGCCAATTTCATAGTCCGCCAAGTGATTTATTGAGACAGAGAGGTTACTTCCCCTTCCTCTGTCCTCCTGTCCTCTCCTATCCTATACATGTACATCTCTTCTATGCAGAGCGGCAGCTTTTATTTATCGCTAAACTAATAAATCTTGGCATAAAAATGGAAAATATTGTATACGCCATGTTGTGCTGAGTCCTGAAACCCTGGCTAGAAAAAACAAGGCCAGAGCAAAAACTCATAAGTGGCGGCGGTTTAAGCAGCGGCCACAAAAAGTTTATATCAATATAAATTTCATATTAAATAATGGTTTAACGATTTATTTGTTTATTCGTTTCCGGCTTCCAACCAATTAACTCTAACGAACTGCAAACTACAAAAAATAACCGACAATCATAAAAAATGCACAGACACGCTGCGTGTCAAAGTACAGTGGGTGAGTGCCAGCGTTATTAATTTTGTAATGTCCTTGTCCCCAAAAATTTTATGAAGAATCGTTTCCCTTTTCGGCTTTGTTCTTGGCCTCTGTGATTTTATGATTATTACTTGATGTTTGCTAGGGTGGAATTGTTTTTAATGAATTTTTACAGCCTCCGAAAGTAAAGCACAAAGAAAAAAATCACAAATCACTTTTGTTTCTTTTTATTTCTGATGCCTACTTTTCGGGGTCGCGCTGTGAAGGCCTTCGAGTTTTAATTGCCAAATCGAGGACGGGCCAGTGTCGCCCTCGTCCTGCCACAGGAGCAGCACAAAATTTTGGTTTAATGTCATTGCGTGAGTGAATCCCATTAGAGCAGAGCAGATCGCACACGTAAGTAATGCTCTAAAATGATATTTATTTGACCTGTTTGTCAACCATTTTTTACACAACCCAGGCACACATTATTATACTTGTAATAACAATTAACAATTAACTTTTTATGGGGTCATGTATGTTGTTGTACATATAATAAATATTTGTTAATGCCACCTATCGATGCTGTTATTACTTCTCCCTCCGCTGCCCGCTAATTATATGTATAGTACACTCGTATACGGGTAGTTTGCATATGGTTGCCGTAAATATTTTTGTAAATATGAGGCATTAAAGCAAACAAAAATACCATAAAGAGGGACTACAGACTTAAATCCATCGAATGGCTGACTATACGGATACGGATGTGTGTATTAACGCATGCATTGATGTATCTGTGCATGTGGTGGGAACACAATACATTTTTAATGGTTTTATTGACTGTGCTTCTGTAAATCCGGGATCCAGCAGGGCTGCTGCCTTCACTTTACTTACCTTCTTTATTTTACTGCTATGTTAATTGTGCCTGATTGACCCATTTGGATGCTGGCAAAAAGGATAATCAGAAATGTCAGGAAATTGCAGATAAAAATTATTGAGAAATTTCTCTTAATAATCATATGAGAATGGGCAGACCACATCGTAGAAGCCTTCAAGAATTCTCGGAGTTTACTTAAGTTTAAATATTTTACAAAAATATTCATATACTCGTATTACATACATATACATATACATACATATTTAATTCCCCATCCGCTAACGTTTACGAGCTCAAGACAAAAATGAAAACAGATGTTTGGCCTAGTACAAATATACCCATCCATATAATGGGCTTGGCTGCTGACCACAGATGACCACAAATATTGTCCTGGACAATAACCAAGATGCATTAACAAAATAAGTGTGTAGGCAGTTCCTATGAGAGACAAATGTTTCTCAGCCCAGCAACGCGGCGTATACGTAATGATTCAGGCAACATGTGCCCCTTACCCTTTTTGGGCGTGTGTTGTGTCAAAGGACAGAACACGAACACGAACCACAGGTGCGGTGGAGTCTGCCTTCTGTCTGTGCGAGTGGAGTCAAGCGTTTCTGCATACCGTAACCGTAACTGTAGCAACATGCATACAGGGCACACATTTTTGTAAGCAGAGTTTACAGTGCGGTTAACAAATATTCATGGCGCACATGGCGTACGAGTGTTGCCCTTTCAGTTTTGCCGCTTTAGAACTTGGTAAAATGCGGACGCGTTGGTCCATGGTGGCGTGGAACCCAGCTGAAAGTCAACTTACTGGTAGAGCGTGGGTGCTGAAAGGTAGCGTTCGGAGAGACAACCAACATATTAAAAGCAAGACTTAAACACTTCATTATACTTTCTAATTTCCTCTTTATACTCTTGCAGAGGGTACTGTGTGTTTTTTAAGCTGTCAGTATTTTCAATTTCTGTTTTCGAAACTACGCACTGACTGAAATCTATCTTTATGAGTCTTTTAAACGCAGACACTCATTTTTGGTGCGTCCAGCTCTGCCGATGAATTTAAAAAAGTAAAAGTATGTTTTAAAAGGTTCAAGATATTATAACATATTTTATGAATTCAAAAGCACAAACGAACAGATAGGACCTAGATAAATAAATTAGAGAACGAAATTTGTGCAAAGTGAGGTACAAAAGAGAACTTTTTTTTGTGAACATTGCTAGACGCTAGCTTGAACGTTTATAAAAATTACCAAAACGGTAAAATCTATGCTCGGGCCTGAGTATCTCTTCTTAATACTGACATTTCGTTTAGATACTGAAAATTTCACACATTTAAGATCAGATTGCACACAATCACCCCATGCAGATCAAAAGGTTGGAAAATTGTGTGTATTTTGTTTGGAATAATCTAATGTAATTTAATTTAAAAAAAAATACAAGCCCGTGTCCATGGCCAAATGGAAACGGAACGTATCATCTTAACTTCCGATACTAACCAGTAACGACGATCGCTTGGAATAAAAATTGTCCACTGTGGCCATATACATATACTGGTACATATATATTTACATATCGCTCAGCACCAACCGAAATTAATTGCGCAAGTGTGATGTTGTGAAATTGCAGAGAAATGTTAAACTTGCTTA